CCCCAAAACCCCAAAACCCCAAAACCCCGATAGTAAGTCTATGAGTAATTAGGGACATTAATTAAGTTTTCTAGTTCAAATAAAACAAAGTACTTTTTTATTACTGTGAATTTTATTTCGAAATCATTTTTTTAATAGTATTTAGCTAAATAATAGATTTAAAATATATGATGACTTCATCAGGCAGAAAAGATTCTCACAAATACATAAAGATTTCATCTCAGCCACTTTAATATTCTCTTGATAACTCTCTAAACTATAGCACAACAAAAAAAAGAGATTCTACCTTTGATAGTGAGGCTTCTTACTTCAAATCGGTAAATCCTGGAGACAGTTATCTTAGAAAAACATAGTTAAGCTCTTTAAATAAGTTATAAGGCAACCCCAATATGAGCGGGTTGGAACAAGAATCCATAAATGCGAGTTTCAACCTAATAAACATCAATAGTCTAGAGCTAACACCTATTAAAAGACAAAACATACCTACAAGAATCATAACATAAAGAAATACAGTGAGAATATCGCAAAACACTTAAATAAGAGTGTCAAATAAAATTCACTTAGACGATGAGATATCTAATAATAACAAGATACAATAGATTTAGAATAAATCTACATCCATTTAATCTAGCTCAACTTAAGCGTCCTCTACTACGAATTCCTCTAACTAAAGTACATCCAGCCACTAAAGTAGCATTGCCACCGGGTAAGTCTGTATAATACCTAAGGACAAAATAAATTTTGTCTCTAATGTCGTCTTGGCAGACCCTAAAAATTAAACTCAAACTAACCTTAAATCAAATCACTTCCAACTGATACGCAGAAAAAAGAAGAAGAGTTTAAGTACTTCAATCTCATGCAGGCCGAGTTCTAGTGAATAATTGATGCATAAATAGCTTTTACTTGATAATCCAGCTCCGTTCGTTAGCGCCTAATCTTGGGCAATGATTGACAAGTCTTCTGGGGAATTAATATTTGGTAGGAATGAATAAGAAAGCAGATAAGTTGCTAGTTTAACAAAGATAATGACATCATATGTGGTTTTGGATATAATTTCGAGATATCACATGAATGAACATAAAACTTTTGTTAAAATATTACCTTCAGCTGTAAAGCTGATAGGCACGACTGCAAACCTATTAGATGATGATAAACTTACTGTGTGGGAACTCATGCATGGTATGATGTTACCTAGTGGCAATGATGCTGCTTAATCCTTAGCTATCCATTTTGGGATATTTTGCCTAAAAGAAGAGTACAAAGCGCATAAAAATTTAGAAGCATTAGACGAAGACAAATCAGAGATTCTCAAATTAACTTATGATAATTTCTAAGATTTGGAAGATAAGCCTCATCTAGTAAGTAAAGCACTAAATGAGTTCTACAGATAAATGAATAGAGAGGCGATGTACTTGAATCTTAAAAATACAAATTTTTCAAGTGCTCATGGTATGTTTCACGAGCAAAATTATAGCTCAGCAGAAGATATTGCTAAACTGTCTTACTTTGCAATGAAAAATTCATTATTCAGATAAATAGTAAAAACCTAAAAATATACATGCGAATCGAGAGTGGAGATTGGGCATCTATATCAATGGTAAAACACTAATAAGCTTTTGGAAATGGGATATTCAGGATTAAAAACAGGAATAACCCCGACAGCTGGACCTTGTCTAGCAGCAAGTATCACTAAAAATGAATTCAAATTCATAATAGTTATTCTTAACTCCAGATCGATGGAGCATCGTTGGCTAGAGGTCTAAAAACTAGTGCACTGGGCAATGCAAAAGATCACTAAAATAAAACAGAGTGATCTTAAACCCAAGATGAAGCGTAAACTTCTTAAGAAGTTGTTGCATCTATGAATTTATACAAATTAGTAATAAAATACATTCCCATACTATTAACTTTAATTGATAAAAGAATTTTAGTAGTAAATTGTGCTATATAATATCTTGAGTTTATTATTTAATATTCAATATGCAAATCTTCGTTAAGACCCTAACCGGGACTACCTTGACCTATTAGGTTGAAGAATCTTGTCTCGTCTCAGACTTGAAGTAAGATTCTTAGGAGACCTTTTCCCCAAGGAAATGAACATATTCTAATCTTAAACGTTAATAGACAAAGAATCGCTGATCAAGAAGGTATCGTTGCTGAGGAGATCGTTCTCATCCACGGACTCTCAACCCTCGAGGATGATGAGACTCTTCAAGTTTACGGTATCACTGAAGGTAAGTTATTCATCAAATGTGTCTCAAAATATTAATCATGAACTAGAATCATCCATCAATGCCGTTATGAGACTCTTGGGAGGTAAAAAGAAGAGAAAGAAGAAGGTTTACACTAAACCCAAGAAGATCGGCCACAAGCACAAGAAGAGACCCAAGGCCCTCCTCGAGTACTTCAATGTCGACAACACCGGCAAGATCTCAAAGATCAAGATTGAATGCGAAAAGTGCCCAGCTGGTAAGGATATTATAGTTTAGCTGACATTTATTAGGTACTTATATGGCTGATCACCCAGACAGACACACTTGTGGTAGATGCGGAAACATGTTCTACAAGTTGACCGCTGATGGAAAGAGAATGCCAATCCCCAAGCAAAACAAACCCGCTGCCGCCGAAAAGAAGGTCGATGCCGCCCCAGCCAAGGGTGCCGCCAAGGGAAAGAAGAAGTGATTCAGCAGCATATATTTAGCATTTTAAGCTCAAATCATTTAATATATATTTACCTTTCCTTATAAATAAACAAAATCTAAATAATTAAAGAAGTAAAACAACAATATACTCAAACTATCATTCATTTTCTGATTTCCAATCATCTTTAAGACTTATTCTTTAAACTATTTTAATAATCATTATCATCACTATGATGTAAATCAATAGGAATATTTTGAGTCATCATTACTGCTTTGGTTGAGCAGTAGAGTTTCCATAGGATTTCATCTTCTCTCCGAAGACGTCGACCAAACTTAGATACATGAATATAAACAGAGCTGCTGAAATAAAATAAGCATTCATTTTAACAAATTTCCTAGCACATCTCACAGTGCAACACTATTAAAATATGATTAACCTGATAAGCTTACCTTAGAAAATATACTTCTTACTGATTGATAAGCCGAATAATGACCTTATACATTGTAGAGATGAATAAACTTCTCCTCATCCTCGTCAAAAACGATATCTGTTATGTTGCTTAATCTTTCATCATCATCGGGATCATTTAGTAAAAACTTTGACGTTGAATTCTATCTCCTATCTGTTTTCTATGTCACTGAATGATCAATGCTAGGAACACCATCATCTATTAATTTCTCTTCGGAGTTCTGAATTGTATCATATCGAGATTTACTTGGCTTGTCTCCTTCAACCATCATTTGAAGACTCTATTTGAAATTTAATTCATAAACTTATGCTTCTTTGACAGACTTTGACCACATAAACATAGGACAAACAAATTAAACGTAAAGATGAGTAATTAAAGCCGTCCAGTTTATTAGATATGCATAGATCTACATGTGATTGATGACCACACCAAGAATCCATGGTAAGATGATACCACAAAAGTAGTTACTTGGTACTTCACATATGCCACCAATATAAATTAAATATTTTGCCATCAATGATGATCTTATCACTACTGGTAATACCACAATAACTAAAAATTTGAAAAAATCATAAATTTACCTGCGTAAACAAAAACTAAAATAATCATGTAAGGTGGAGTATTTGCTGAGAAGAATAGATCATCGAATAAATTGGATTCATCTGTGTATGCAATGGCTCCCAATAACCCAAAGGCGATTCTGAATATAAGGCCCTAACATCATTATGCTCCAAAAAATATGAAAATTTCTTACGAATACAAGCGCCAAAAATACTGGAAGTTTGAAGTATTAATCAGGATTTGAATCAGCTATTATATTGGGAACTTATGCTGACTATGAATATGAAAAGGAGAGGATTCCCAAAACGAAGCCAAAATTTAGTGAACATTAAGGAACTTCACTCAGGTTCAAATTGTCGATGCCTCCTTGAAGATCTACGAAATGACTGCATGATACACCAATGAAGCTCAAGATCACCATCAATTTGACTGGCTAGAACCATTTTTCTTTCTCAAAGTCAAATGCGAATATCACTAGCGAAATGAAGAATACAATTAGCAAGCCAATTGAGATGCAAAAATAATTGTTTTAAAATGGCTATGTGCCTGAGTTCTTTTCAAATATTATCTTTGCTTCTGGAGCAAGTTATAATCCAAAAGTTTTTCCATATAAAATTTCAAAAAGGTTATCTGCTGTGTAAGTCGACATGATAATTCCAATAGAGGATACGCATATCAATTGCAGCAAGTAAAGCTGTCTGGTAAAAGAAACTGCCAGAGATTTCTAAGTCATTTATGAAGACAAGAGTGACTCAAAGTCCACCTTTTATTTCATCTTGTAGTTTCCAATTAAAAGCCTCGTGCTTTCATAGACAAGTATACAACAGAAATAGCTCAACAATGTCAAAATTGTGAACACAATTGAGCATGTTACCCATCCAGCCCTTCTCATGATGTATGGTAGCAATACACTAATAGATTATGTTATTGAAATTTTACATAGAAGCATCGAATTATGAATTAAACATGTAAACAAACTTATTTATGCAACTTCTTTTCTTGAAATTATTAGAGAGACGAAGTTGCTTATCATCTAATTTACTCTCAATTTAAAGATTAATAAATATTACAGCTGTTTGATTTTTCCTTTTTATTGTACATTAGGTACGTTTGTTCATGAGCCCCCAATAAACCCGTATTTGAGCTTTGAGCCTAATACGAGGAGTTTGAAATATATTAGCTTTTCATCTTCTAAAGCAGTGTCTAATGCGTCCTCCTTTTTAATTAATTTCTATAATTAAGATTAGGCTTTATAAGCATATATTGTCAAGATGGGGTTTTGGGGTTTTGGGGTTTTGGGGTTTTGGGG